AATAGCACAAATACAATAACACCAGTTTTAACGTGGTTCGGCGAGATGCCTACGTCCACGGGGCAAGGAGGGGGGAGTTTTCACTATTAAAAATCAAGGGGATACAACCAAACACACCAAACAATAGCACAAACACAATAACACCAGTTTTAACGTGGTTCGGCGAGATGCCTACGTCCACGGGGCAAGGAGGGGGGAGTTTTCACTATTAAAAATCAAGGGGATACAACTAGGGTTACAAATCTCTCATAAACCCTTAACAAATCATCTCTTGATCTCACCAATTGCTCCTAGAATAGAAGCCCAAAGAAAACCCTATCAATATGCTCAAAACCCCTTGCTTTTCCAAACCCTAGAAACAAGTTTGGGTATTTATACAACTCCCAAACGAAACGGGTCTGAAACCCAGATTCTTCTGCGGTCGATCGCGACGGTAGACCGTCATGAAAACAGAAACTTCTGTGGTCGACCATCGCGATCGACCGCCACTGATCCAAACGCACAGTAAGCTCTGTGCACGAACACGGTCGACTGCCACGGTCGATCGCCACCCTGTCTGCTACCTGTTTTGAGCCATCAACTGCCAATTTCTACAAATCTTTACCTTGGCGAAGATTCTTCCAAACTGAGCCGACACCAACCAAACCAATTACCTCACTTGTTGCATCCAGTACGCTATGACAACGGACTCATGACAACGGACCCATCCACAACATGTCGAGATCCAAACGGGAGTGCGAACACTCACCCCAAACAAAAAATATCTACTCACCAAATCAGTTGCATCAAAACTGACTGCCTACGTATCCTCTCCAAGGAATCAAGCTTTCACGTAGTTCACCAAATGGCCTTCAAAGACCCTCAATCCAAAAGAAGAGTCCTCAACTCTTCATCAATACCAACATCCAATGTACGACTGATAGCATTACGAACGGCCCCATACTGAAATGATCCAAACACCTTCACCTGAGGTGAACCAATGGACATATCCAAGCTATATCCACCAGCTGCACACAGATCTATCAACTCGTCATCCGCATCCTGAACAATCTGATCCCCAAACTGTGTCACCTCAACCGGAATCCCAACTAATGCAAAATAACCTGGAGTATGTGGAATAAGCTCCACCCGATGTGGAGTAGCATCAACCTCCATCCGCTGCGATATCCCACTGATCTGAACAATACTCTCTACCTGTCGAGAGTTCAAAGTGACATACCTGCTCAGACCAAACTCAGAAGCCCTCAACTGATAGCCAAAAGAGCCTTCAGACCAAACTCAGAAGCCCTCAACTGATAGCCAAAAGAGCCTCTGAATCCCAAATGCGCAATCGGATCCAATCTCACATCCCAACTGATAGCCAAAAGAGCCTCTGAATCCCAAATGCGCAATCGGATCCAATCTCACATCCACGATGTGACCACGTGCTGGGTAGCCCAATATCCGACGCCAACCAAAAACTGAAGCAGCTCTACCAGATCCAACAATATCTAACGCAGTAGTCGACAACCTCATAAGATGGCCCAAACCTGTCGGAGCCCGAATACCAAATCCACTGCTCGACAACCAACGCCGATCCTCCTCCAGAAAAGAATGACCCACTAAATCTGCCATCTCATCTCGTCGCCCCACTGTCTCCTCTCCTCTGAAGTGTCTCCAACTACCATGAGCTTGGCACCAATGCAAGAAAGAACCCCTACTAGAACTAGTACGACGAGTAACCTCTCTGCCCATACACTCCTCCAACTGTCGCGGACTACTAGGGCTTCAAACCAACAGGACTTGGTTGCAACCCATAAATGCCTAGTACAATCCCCAACATAAAAAACAAAATAACGATTACCTCCCAATGATGCCTCCATGGAAGGCCCCCCAATGCCTGACTGAACACCTCTAATAAGACCACTCGATTGATGGATAGAAGTGCTGAACTCCACCTTGGTCTCCTCGCTCATCCCAATGTGCTCACAGGACTTCAATCTGCAGGTCATAATACTCCTCAATAACCTATGCACGACATAACCAATAATATACCCCAGCACCAAACAATATCACAGTCTAGCCAAAGAAGTCGTCAGCGCTCTATCAATCACCGTGCTCCCAAGCAGATAATATAAGTTACTCCTCCTGACGCCCTTCATCACAATCATGGACCCCGATGTGATCTTCAAGCGAGAATCCGCCAAGGTCACCCTATAGCCTGCTGCCTCTAATACCTCAAGTGAAATGATGTTCTTCCTTAGTTGAGGAACGAACCTCACATCAACCAATTCCCGAATTATCCCGTCACTCGTCCGAATACGAACGGTACCAATACCACCAATAGGGCATCTGTGATCATTACCCATAAGTACAACATCCCCTCTTTTTAACTCCTGAAAACTGGAGAACCAATCCCTTCTAGGGCATATGTGGTAAGTAGCACCCGAATCTAACATCCACTCGGTGGAGTCGGCAACACCAACTGACGGAAGAGCTGGGCACGAGTAGCCCGAAGAATTTGAATCCGAAATGTTACCACTAGCCTTGGCAATATTCACCTCTAAAGCTTGAATAGCTTTCTCCTTATTCTTCCCGGCTTGTAATTTTGGGCATTCGGCTTTCAAATGTCCATCCTCTCTACAAAAAGCACACTGATTCCTACCAACTGCAGGATGCCCCCCTCTAGACTGCGACCTCCTACCACGGTTTGGACTTCTAGCTCTTGCAACCAATGCTCCCACAACCGGCTTAATGGAAGTTTCCTTGTCCTTCTTTCGAAGTTGATAATTCACAAGTGCTGCGGTTACCTCATTATACGAAAGAGATGTCTTCCCATTAATAAGAGTGAGGACGAATGTCTCATATTCCTCGTCGGGCAAGGAACTCAATAACAACAATGCCTTGTCTTCATCTTCAACTATAACATCTATATTCGCCAAATCTGTAAGTAGCTTCGTGTAGTGGTTCATGTGATCACTAATGGATGTCCCCTTCTTCAATTGGAAGCGATAAAGCCTCCTCTTCAAATGCAAACGATTTTTGATGCTCTTCGTCAAATATTTACCCTCTAGGGCCTCCCAAATCTTCTTTGCCGAAGTCTCATTCATCACATCATATTTTAGATCTTGGGTAAGACAAGACCTAATCACACCACACACCGTTCTATTCATTTTCTTCCAAACATTCTCATCAATGTCGTCCGGTTTCCCGTCCAACTCCAACGTATCTTCCAAATTTTGCGCATTTAGCGCATCCAAGACTTCGCATCTTTAAAGTCCAAAATTATTTGTGCCATCGAACTTCTTCACATCTATCTTTATAGAATGGATATTCAAACTTTAAACGGTTTTCACACTAGAAGAACCCTCCCCACTTTTATCTTTCCCGGTCATATATCTCAAAGCACCCAAATAATTGCGGAACAAACAAGAAATAGATCCAACTTGAAAAAGATAGAAACTTTACCACAAAGATCCCATCTTTATCACCAATCAAAGCTCTAGATGAACTTCCTAACCGCTCTACACCTCCAAAAGCCCAAGCGTTGCCCGGAGCTCTGATACCAATTGTTAGGGAGAAACCCTTATGCTGAGATCCAACCAAATGACCGAGAGAGATGAACAAACACACCAAACAATAGCACAAACACAATAACACCAGTTTTAACGTGGTTCGGCGAGATGCCTACATCCACGGGGCAAGAAGGGGGGAGTTTTCACTATTAGAAATCAAGGGGATATAACTAGGGTTACAAATCTCTCATAAACCCTCAACAAATCAACTCCTCATCTCACCAATTACTCCTAGAATAGAAGCCAAAGGAAACCCTCTCAATATGCTCAAAACCCCTTGCTTTTCCAAACTCTAGAAACGAGTTTGGGTATTTATACAACTCCCAAACGAAACGGGTCTGAAATCCAGATTCTGCCCAAACCGCTTCGGCGATCGACCGTGACGGTCGACCGCGATCCATCGCGGTCGACTGCCACGGTCGACCGCCCGCAATCCCAGAGCAGCAACGCACAGTAAGCTTTGTGCACGAACGCGGTCAACTGCCACGGTCGACTGCCACCCTGTCTGTTGCCTGTTCTGAGCCATCAACTACCAATTTCTACATAGGAGAGATATTTGGAACTATGGAGAATGTTGTGAGCGATAAATGTGCCACCCTGCGTATTCATATACTTGTGTTTTGATTCTTGTGCAGGCTGTAGATGGTAAAAGGAAAGGGAAAGCATAGAAAAATTCCTTCACAACATATTTTTCCAAGATTTTTTTTGGATATTTCATTTTTGTAGAAACGTTCCTGTGAGCAATGTATTATTTATCACGTATTTATACTTGTGTAAATAGTTTTCTTGTCTCAATAAGAGCAATATATGTAATATTTTCTTTTCCTGGCTGAATTCAAAGAGTTTTGTAATATACCTTAGCCAAAATTGTGTAAACATATTCATCTGTCCAATCTCCATCATCCATCAACAAAAAAAGTCTGCATGGTAATATTATCGATTTCGTGGAACGTTTGTTTTATCCTCCTGCAAGGCTTCTTTCACGGACTTAAAAAAATTATATCATGGCATCACATAGAAGTTCAAAGTACTGTTAACACCCGAACCTAGAAATTATCACTCGCTAAAGCTTATCCCTATTGCTTGGGGGAGTTCACTGCTCGACTTGAGCAAAACATCAAATGCTCAACATCTGAGTTATTATAAGCAACGAGAAATGAGTAAAAGAAAGTTACATAGTTTGATGATTATAGAAAGATGTTTTGATTTCATTTCTCCTGCTTTCTTTAATATATTTCTCCACTTATACCAGGTATCCCCACTAGGAGAAAGAAAGTATACGGTCCAACATTTTCAATTTTTTTTAAAAAAATTGATGACTCGTCATGAAAGCCGAGAGCCTGTAGTCTCTTGTTCAAGATTCGAACGATTTAAAGTGAATTTTTTTTCTTCTAGAAAAAAGAAAAAAAAAGAAAAAAAATAGTGAAATCAGTAAAGCCATGCTCTTCTTCATCCAGATGTTAGTAAATGAAGTTTTGTACCAAGATTTTAGGCTCTTGGGGCAGGGGTGGCCGGAGGAGGTGCCGCCCTGATTCTTAGATAAACCCCAACCTTACGTGGCCGCAACGCTGACGATTCGCTGTGATGAAGTGGTGGCAGCTCCAGAATCAGATCCTGTGTGAGATAGGGGGTGGCCGGAGGAGGTGGAGGAGGTGTCATCGTGATTAGATAGCAAATCAAAATCTTTTGTTTTTATTGACTTAGTTTTTCTCAATCCAATTTATCAGTTTCAGTTTTTAAGGACAAACTTTTTTGGTTTTCCTAAAAGTGTAATAAGATCATAAACAAACATTGATCATCATTGAGCTAGCAAATCTACAAGTATGATATGTGCAGACACAACAAAATTACTAGATTTAAATCAAATGAACCAATAATGTTATATCACTGCATCAAAAGGAAAACCCACCAAACTATATCTAGGAGAAAACAAAATTTATGAAATTTCACGTTACCAAGTTGTTTTCTTTTTTTTTTCCCCAATAAAGGAATAATGTCATGAAACCTTAATGAGAGATCTGATCAATCATGGTCTATGTATGATCTGGGAGACTGATTTACAACCTTCCCCTACGTGATTTACAAATTTCCCCTAGGTGGAGGGTTCATTTGATGAGGGTAGCTTAGCAATTGACAATTCATACTAAAAACACTAACCAACCTTTGGTTTACCAAGTTGTTTTATTGACTCTAAATATTTTTTTTTTGTTTTAATAAGAACAAAGGTTAATATCAGATATATGAAATTTTTTCTGATTTTCTAACTTATTACTTAAATAGATTTAGGAATTACCTTCCCCCCTGCAATGAATTCTTCAAGTGCATCCAATAAGTTTCTACTGCGTCAAATGACGTTACCTTTACATTATCCGTGCCATTTTCTACGAGAACCTTAACTACATACCTATAGTTTTTATTGTTGATTTCTAGATATATGTTAATAGTAAATTTTTATATGTTTATGTCATAAAAAATTGATATAACTTAACATTGGTACTAAGTTATCAACAATTCTGTGGCGTTTATTATATAGACACTCGTTATTAACATATTTATATATTTTTTTGTCGCGGTCTTTGCAAGCGTAAAATCATGGCTCAAGTCTATTTAAAATGGTAGTTATCTTTGCCTTAAATGTGCCATAGCATGCCTGTATATTGGTAAAATTTAGTTAGATTTAATTATATGAATAAGAGTAGGTGTTCTAATATTGTAGCTATATGGAATTCTATGATGTCTACATAATATCACTAATTTGAATTTCTTTTGTACTTGTAAAGAGCGTAGATGGTGATCCTTTATTTTAGCAGCTTCTACTAAATGAACCTTATGTATTAAATTAAAATATTGTACCTGTATTGGCACAGAACATTTTATGGCTTCGATGCTTTGACCCCTATAAGTTTGAGTGTTGAGCTATGCTCGCATACAAAAATACTACTAAACATTGTAAATTCTAAGCTACCACCCCTTTCTCAGTTAAATATATCTTCTGCAAATGTAAAGATTGGTCAGGCTATTGAAATTGGTGTTGGATTGTAACCTCTGATATCCCTTTTATCCATTCTTTTAATATTCTAATGCCATTCAATCTCTCTACTTGGAAAGAGTAAGAGATACTATAGTGGATCATAATAGCAAAATAGTGTTTCACTTGATGCCTTGGCCCTTAATATGCATGGACAGCTCCCCTCCCCCCCCCCCCCCCTCTCTCTCTCTCTCTCTCTCTCTCTCTCTCTCTCTCTCTCAAATGGAACATTGTCGTTATTTCCTTCAGTCCAGATTGTAGCCACCTGATCTGGTATTGGTGAATTGTAGACACGTCGATTTAGTGCAACATTGCTATTTATTAATGTCTTAAGGTCTTCAAAAGATATTCAATCATTCAATTTGCGAAGGAATCTTGCATGCGAGTTTGGTTGCAATATATCCATCAAGATATTAGTTTTGGTTTCACTCATATTTGTATTATCTTATCATCATTTAATTCTGCAACTCATTCTTTGTATTATACAAGTACATCTGAAAGTATGAAGGTTTATTTTCTTGTGGAGTTAGAGTAGAGAGATTATGATATATTTAGCATTGTGCTCTAAATGTAAAAATTTCTTTTTTATTAGATGAAAGTTCCCTATAAAATCTTGCCCCCAAATAATGTGAATTAGAAAATGTTGTTGTATATTCTAGTGTGGCTCCAAAACTCGATCGCCTCTGGTGATTGCATTGTATAAAGTGTGTATAATTCATATAGAATATTTACATTTGCTAAGTGGATGTCACTATTGTGACAGCAAGATATTGGAGGATCGTGTTAAAACGTTTTAGCTTCACAATAAACACAAGACTTTCGACTGTGTAGCTTATATAGTAAAGAACATACCGATTCTCGAAGAATTTTCCCTAGCAAAGATATTAATATTCATTAAACCAATATATAATATTACATGGACATTTTAATAAATTATAAAGTATGCTAGGAGTAGGGCTCTACTAAATAGGTCAACTTTGCATCGTTGTTTGCTATTTGTAGTATTACTAGTAGAGTCATTACTTTGCCTCTTTCTCTAATTATCCATATTTGCTATTTGTTGTATTACTAGTAGAGTCATTATTTTTCCTCTTTCTCTGATTATCCATGCTTCTTTGAATATAAACTTTCTTTTGCTCATCACTTAGCTGACCATATTTGATTCTTCTAATACCGGGAATTGGAATATTCTCTTCTATTTAAAAAATGTTCATGTGATCTTATTAATACAAACAAACACAAATAAATATATGTGTGTGTGGATGTGTATATGTGTATGCAGGTATTTATGTACGCATACGCACACACATATGTTTATGTATGTATGTGTGTATGTAGGTATGTATACATATGTATGTATGCACACACACACATGATTTGATGGTTATGAGATGACGACTTATTTAGGTAAATGAGCAACCAAGAGATAGAGGAGGTAAGACCCACACCATTTGATGTGACGATTAGGCTAGGTCTCACCATGTGGTTATCTCTTAGTAGCTCATTTAGCAAATGTAATGCAAATCTTGGCTTGAAGTCATTTTAAGTAAGGTCCCTTTATGCTAGAAACTGTTATATAGTGGTTATGCATTCAAAACCTAGAGAATAAATTTCTACTAAGGAAAATCAAATTAATATGTCATATTAGCGATTAATTTATAAATACATATGAGCAGTGTAGATAGCTAGACAAAGTAGGGTATATTATCCTGAAAATTCAATCATAATCGACCAACTACAATCATCATAATTGAAATATAAAAATTGTTGATATTAGATACTAACTTGATACCCATAAGTATGCAATAAATCTTGAGTATGTATTTGGAAATGATATGGTATTATCCTGTAGGTAAATAAAAATGTTATTAGAAAACAACCAAACCTTTACGAAAAACCATGGGAAAATTATCTCAAAAAGGTATTTCTGGACATGTAGTCAATTGTAGTTTGGGAACTTGTAAGCTTAAATTTGGAAGTATTCTATTCTTCTAATTTTTTTTATTAAAATGCAGGCTATGGGTGAGAAATTTCAGTTAATTGAAGCGTCTAATTAGATGTTATATGTGATTAGTGATAACTCAATGCTTATTGGACTGCATAATTAATGCAGGTGAAGTGGACTAAAAGAGAAAAGAAATCCTATTCCAAGCTTATGTTGCGATGAACATATGATGTCATGCATGACTTGTATAACATTTATACAGTTTTTTTAGTGATGACTGCACACTTCTCTTGCTTGTACTATTTATATATGGAGATTTAGTTTGCAAATCCAAAGATTACCAATTGAAGTGCTTAGGGATCTTTTTATTAATAATTATGAAAAAAGTCCCAAATCTTGTTGAAAATTTCATCAGGAAGACCCTTTTCTATTGGGTATTAAGTTGTTATTTTGAATAATTAAAAAAGTAGAAAGAGATAAAAATGCAGAGATATAATAAACTAAAGGGTAAATTGCACATAATTGCCTCATCTATACCTTTAATCAGGTCATTTGTTAGCTGTTATCCCATCTCAATTCTTAAGGAAAGAATGCTAAGTGCTAATAAATAGTTTAGAAGATTAAGGGCAACTGAAGGTATAAAGTATGGTGTTATACACAATTTATCTTGACCTAAGCTAATTATAAAATATAGTATTTTCATAATTTAAAAATATTTTGGATATTGACTAGATTTGAAATAACTTTAAGAATATTAATTATTACTCAATAGATATTGACCATTATTATAAAAATTGCATGTAAAACTTTATTTTATAACTATAGAACTTATTAGTGTAATTTATGGGTATATAAAATATAACATTCTTTTACATAATGGGCTATTTGGTTTATTTCCCATTTTATTGGGAAACATCATTCCATGTTAAAAACCCAAATTTTGGGTTTTCTAAAGTATTCCAAGAAAAATATTTTTGGTGTTTGGTTC